GGAACGAAATTAAGTTGTCTCTGAAAGGTTTTCCAGACGATTTATCTGATTGTGAGATACACCTTTATTTTAAATGGAACTTGGTTTTTATTTTTTTAAAAACACCCTGAAGAAAAAGTTTAGGTTCTCGCCAGAAAATACAATTTGATACTTTTTGTCTTGTCTCGACGTTTCATATCATTCTGAATCGTTTGAGACTGAAATTGGGAAAAATATGTGTGTCCATTCGAACAAAGGTTCAAAAATCATGAACTGATTTTAAAAATTTAAAAATTATTTGATGAAGATTCGATGAGGATTTGCGATATTTCCAAGTAAAATTATGTCACTACTGCTTGATATCAGGCTGTCCGTATCGAGTCTATTCGACTATTCGACCATTTTTCGATATTTTTTCAAAAACTACTGAATCGATTTTAAAAATCTAAAAGCCATTTGATGAAAACTCGATAAAGATTTGCAATGTTTCCAAGTAAAATGTCACTATTACTTGGAATCAGGATATCCGTACCTGGATCTTCTGATTGGAAGCTCATAGCTCTAACCACTAATCCACGAGGAAACTGTCATTTCGATTATAAAAATATAATATTAACTCCGTAGGGTAGGTTATTGTAACCGTCTAAAAATCGAAACTGAAAATTTTTGCATATCTTCACGTTTTAGAGCTTTCTGAACATTTTAGCTTTGCTTTAACCATTAATTCACGAGGGAGCCATCATTTCGATTATATCATTTGTTTTTTGTCTCTTCTATATATTTAATATTTTTTTAAAAAGTGATACCGACACAAAGTGAAGTATATGAATATAAGTATCCAGTTTAGCTTCCCTTATAGACTTAACCCATTTATTTATCTATATGTACAAATGTGTAAATTTGCCGATTAACATATATCATAATGCGGTCCGGAATTCCGGAATTCCGGAATGAATAACATATTAATCTGGATTAAATTACCCTCTCTCGGTGTTAATGGCCTCGAAAATTCCTAACCCATACCCATAACCAAACCCTATTATTATGATTCCACTCGACATACTCTTAAGCCATAAACCATAAACAGATTAGATGATTCAAATCAAGGGTAGAATGAATTCAAATAAAGATCAAAACATTATATTACACTTGGAATGCTTGTACATATGTCCATTTATACAGAGTTTCGAAAATAACATACATCATTCCACTTTTTTTTAATTAAACCATTTTTCGCTAATACTTTGGAAACTTTTTAATGAATTCTATACCTAGCAAAGTCAGATATAAATATTTTTATATCATAGATTGAAAATGAAAATTTTTGCATTTCTCGACGTTTTGAAGGTTTCTGAACATTTTGGCATACCTCAAAAAAAATGGATGTGTGTGTATGTCCGCATTTTTTCGTCCACGTTTTCGGGCGCACGGATCAACCTATTTGAATGGTTTAAAAAACAATCGATCCCTATTGATGGGGAGATGTGCTGATTAGTTTTTGGCAAAAGCAGATCCAGCCGTAACGAAGATACAGAGCTAAATATGCAAAATATGGCAGTTTTTGAGTGAACTAAGCGTCCGATTTGAATGATTGACAATTGCTTTTGAAGATAAAAAATTAATACATCATTTTTTATTTTCCATAAAATATTTTTATAATTTTAGATTAAAAATTCAAAATTCAAAAAATGACCCAGACTAAACACAGTCTAAGCGCCTCTCTGGTGCAAATGTTTACCCAAGTGCGTTTAGACTGTTTTATGTACTTTTCAAATTTCATGAAAACTATTGAAAAATGTGAAAATGCCGCCAAGCTAAGTACAGTATAAGTGAAAATGTCGCACAGAATTGTTAGCAATTTTTCAATTTTGTGTAAATTAATAAGGCAACTACTTTTTTTTTAAAATTCGATTCTAAATAAAATGACGATTGTTAATAATCTGGAGATAAATTGATTTATGATTTACATTTGATTTGCTCAGATATATAACAATAAGATGACAAAAATAATGAAAGTTACAGTATTTGTAACAATATATTTGAAAACGTTTATTTCTCCAATATTTCATTACGGTACGGGAGGTTCCAGCAATTTGCCTTAAGACACGATGCCATACACCATGAGTTTTTGAAAATATTCACTTTCCCAAAAAGTCAAAATTAACAAAAAGAGTCTCGTGAGCAAGTCAGAATATAAAATGAGTTTCTTTTATAAAAACCTTGTAGATAATTGTGACCAGATTGTGTATGTGTGTATAAATATGTAGGTGTGTATAAATATAATTTTCAGAAGGTAGACTTTAAACAGAACAGACAATTATAAACAGATATATTTGATTCTAATCCAATTAGAAATTTTAATTAAATGTTCTCTGACGACTGAGCCTTTTTCTGCCCGAGGGATGGAAATAGACACATGTAAATATATATATATATATATATATATATATATATATACATTAGGGTGGTCCTTAATATGGATATTTTCGAATACCTTGCTCCCAAGGAAAAAGAAAATCTTTGAAAGAAATTGTAGCTCCTGATATTAATTTTAAGAAAATCTGCCTCCAAAAGTTCTTGGTTCTTCTTCTAAAGTAAAAACCTGTTTTATAAAACATATTAAAATTTTGTTGTAATTTTCTTATTTATGATCAGAATATGCAAATTCAATGTTATTCTCTAAATGAAATTTTATCCATGTTATTTCTATAAGAGACTTTGCTAGGAATGCGGACTATGTTAAAGTTAATATTAAAGCTAAAACTTTCAGATTTTTTTTAATAATATAGAAGCATTTAAACCCTTGGGAAAAAAATATTCGAAAATATCCATATTAAGGGCCACCTTATATAATATTTAAACCCAATACAGGCTGTATGGAAACCACACTATAAGAAACTCGGAATTAGTATAAAACACATCATTAGTACCGCGTTATAAGAGGGTTAGGATATATATATATATATATATATATATATATATATATATATATATATATATATATATATATGTCTATTTACTTGGTACACAATTGGAAAAGGCAGTCAAGTGCAAAACTGTTGATTAACTTTCGTTAATTGCTACAAATTCTCATCGTAATTATCTTTTGATTAACTTTGACCAATTTGAATTCGAAATTATTCATCGTTGATGAAATATTTTAATTTTCATTCATCCTTGAACCACTCCAGTCCAGTGGTTTCCAAGGTAAGAGTCGCAAAATGATAGAGAGTATTACATGAATTATTATTTGAAATTCATGTACTGATGATGAGACGAGCAATATATTTGAAAAGTTGTAATATTAATTGTAGTAATCATGGTTTGTAAAATATGTTAATTTACATTCATCCTTGTTTAATAGTCCACTGGTTCTCAAAGTGGGAGTCGCAAAATATTCAATATTCAAGAACAATAAGCAAATCAAATTTTTGGCAATAACATTTATTTGCTTTTGGGGAAGTTAAAAATCAAATTATATATAAAAAAGAATATATTCAAGATATACTTTGTAGAAATTATTCTTGTTTATCTATGTAATATATATGGAGTTAAGTTAAGTAATTTAAAATATATCAAAATCATTGAATTAATTAAAATAATGAGATTATCAAATGATAAATAAAATCAATCAATCAAATTATTGATTAAATAGGTTATAAATTAAAAAAATGAATTAAAAAGAATACATTCAACAAATAAGGATCCTTATTTATATTATATTTCGAAATGGTAGAAATTAAATGAATCAAATCAGAATGACAAAATCATAATATGTGAAAATCAAAATCGAATAATTTATTTAAAAATGAAATAATCAAGTAAATAAATCGAATCAAGCAATCAAATTAATAAAATCGGTTAATTAAATTAAAAATAAAAAAATAAAAATTATAATAGATAATAAAATAATGGATTAAATAAATAATGGCAAAAAAAATAATAAAATAAAGATATATTAAATAAATACGACAAGTCGATGGATAAAATCTCTAAAATCAAGAAATTAATTAACTAATTCAAATCCTTTGAATAAATCAGTGATTGAGACAATATTGCATCATGCATCAATTTGAACAAAAAATACAAATATATTTAAAAAAAAATCCTTATGACAAATAATAAATTTGCTAAAATGGCAGCCACCATTTTGCACATGTCTTTCGCCCTTTCAAGAAATGATTTATTATCATCCATATGACTATTACTAGACACGACCTCATGTCCTTACATTATTTTATAGTTAAATTTATTAATAATACGAAAGCGATATTATTAAAACATCATTTCAATACTACGGTATTTGCAATACCATATGTTTAATCTAGTATTATATGACACTAGACAAGACATCAAAAATGGGCCCTCATAATATAAGTTAAAATGCATATTACTACAGAGACTGACCTTGCAGGATTGATTAAACAGCTTAAACACGTGGAAACCATTGTTTTTGTTTAATTGCACTTATTAACACCCTTTATTAGATTACAATTAGTCTTGTTCTAAGAAAACGTGGTTTAAAGTAAAGTAAAGCAAGTAAGGTTAGAACTAGAACACTTTGTACAATATGGCATCCTTATGCAAGGAACACATGTCACGTGACAGAAAGTACAAAATTAATTAATGCCGATAATTTAGCAAATTTACAGTTTGATTAAACACAATTAATTAACGGTAATTAGTTTAAATTAACGATTATAAATTAAAAAGAGTTTAAAACAAAACCGTGACACCGTGCTGTCACTAGTTGCCGTAGAAACTCATTGTGTGTTTTGTGAAGTAGGTTTCAATTGACAACTAGGAAGGCTGGCCAATCGTAGAATACAATTTTACATCTGATTAGAATCTTATTATTTGATAAAAATATATGATAAAGTGATAATTAGTTTATACATTTAATACTAAAGCGATTGTATAATGAAGATTTGTGGCAAATAAAGGTTTTTATGATTAAAAACGCTTTGTAAAATGTACACTCATTTACTTCTTATGTTGGTTAACTTGTCTGCGCAATTTAGTTTGACAGTTCGGTGTTTGGCAGATAGTCAATAAACAAAACATATAAAAATGAATAATTAATTAAATACATATATACAGAATAGTTTTAGACAACTGCCGATATAAATATATAGCATTTACAGATATGCCGGAAAAAACAAACGTGAAACAAAGAAAAAAAGAACCCAAAAAAGATGATAATGTTACTTCTGAAGAAGATGAATCAAAATTGAACAAAAGAAATTTGTAGGTAAATCGAAATACAATTACCTTATATCACTAAATTTTATATCCTTTACCCCTTGCAGAAAATTCGGTCCTTTACCCTCATTTCGCAACCAAAGAACATGGACGAGAATAGTCTTATTCATTGGTTTATTCACAGTTCTACATTTTTACAAAGGCTCAAACAATGAAAAACCACTAGCCAAACAAAACGAGTTCTTTCACAAACGTGGAAACACTGTTGAATGTTCAGAATCATATTCCAAAGAAGCAAATAAATTTAAAACTTGCACTCCGTTCAAATGTGGCCGCTTTGTAACTGACAGTTTAATCACATTAACAGAAGCAGGATTGTTGAACGAGTTAGCTAAAAAAGGTTTGGCTGCTGGAGGCTCAAATGGGGGAGCTTCTGTAGTTGATTTCCACAGCGGTGTCTTATCAGTTGGAGATAAATTTGTTAATTTGTACAGAACTGGTGTTGTGAAAGTTACAAAACATGACATGGATTTTCTACAGGTAATAATGGATTGTTGTTTGTTTGTTTCATAGGTTTTAAATGTAAATTTTATATTAATAGATGATTGAAAGTAAGTTGAAACATGCTGTAGCAGAAACATTCCAAATAGAATCTGATGCTTTATATTTAACATATCCTACGTTATTTTCTGAACTTACAAACAAGGAACCTGCTACAATACATGATGAATATTGGCATCCACATATCGACATGGTAAAGTCTAAATATTTGTTTATTACTCAGAACATGTACAAATATTTTTATTCCTATTTCAGGTGACTTATGATAGTTTCTTTTATACCACCTTGCTCTATTTAACAGACTTTGATCAAGATTTTAAAGGTGGTAGATTTGTATTCATGGACAAAAAGGCTAATTACACGGTCGAGCCCCGCAAAGGAAGAGTTCTTATGTTTACATCAGGCTCAGAGAATGAGCATTTTGTTGAAAAGGTTACTGAAGGCAAACGATATGCCTTAACGGTTGCATTTACTTGTGATCCTAGTAAAAAAATTAAAAATAGAGAAATTAAAGGACCAGTTAATGTAGGAAAATAATAATAATATATTGGTCAAGTGTGGAATTAAAAAAAAGCATTACATAAAGTATTAGAGAGGATGGTTATGGGTCTTTTTTATCCTGACACATTCCACATACTAAATAAAAAACATTTATAATTTATATTTGATTTTTTAATTAAATAACTACGTCACTAGATAACAAAATATGGATGCAGTGGTAAACCATATAATGCGATGTATACAATGTAGATATTAATATATTTAAATGTACACATAACTCTTTATACCAGATCTAACAAATTCATATCATTGTAAAACAGAAGTGTATAAAAATAAAAAAATAATATCAAAAACTAAATTTCTGTGAGTAATTTCTCTAAGGTCCCAAAAATTATATATTTACAAAAGATTAAATGCATACGGAATGCAAATAGTATAACTAAATAATATTTGGTGATTACTTTTCAAAGATTTCAGCTTTTTTTTTGTTATGTTTAAACGTATGCTAATAATCTTGATAAAATATAATTATTTAGAAATACTTACTTAGATTTATAACATTAGTGTTTTCTTAGTGTTCATTAGGTGCCTTGTAGATATATTTACAAAAAATAAGTTTGTGCTATATAGACTCTTATATAAAATGTACTTCTACACAGCTTGTACTATATTCGCAATTTTATCGACAGATTCTCCAGAAAGGATTGTTCTATGATCACCTGTAGCTGTGTGTATTGACACTGTGCTCTTACATAACTGAAATAAAACATCATAATAAAAAAATGCCACATCACTTCAATATAAAATTCAATATATCACTTACCGATTGCAATCCGTAATCATCACTAATCTTTGCATAGTTCTCACTGGCTCTAACTAACGTGACACTGCCTTCAACTTTGCATTGTGTTTTATAAGCATCGGCAGCCCTCAACTTCTTATAGAATGAAGTGGCTGCTTGAGCTAATTGTTTTTCAGCAAATCCAGTGCGACTGGCCAACAGACTTGTACATCTTGCTAAACGTTCCTCCCAACTAGGAAGGGTTTCTAATTCTTGAGCAGTCTGAGATAAAAGAAAAAGGAAAATTATAATCTTTGAATATTAAATTGTACTAAAATAATTTGATGTTGGTACGTACTTTAACGTAATCCAAATTGCTAAAGACTAGAGAGAAGTATGCTAAGGCGTGAGCTTCATCACTGGCGGCTCCTGTGGGTCCTTGTCTGGCTTTATAGGCACCAGTGTATGAACTTACGTAAGTGGGTGATCCATCCAATAAAACTAGGGATACTTTTTGTTTCTCCTATAAAAAGCGAAAGAATTAAATAAAATATCATACAATAATACAATAATATTGTCATGGGCGTTAAATATTTAAACAACGTTTTTTATTACCTTTTCAAGTTGTAGGGCCATTTCGAAAGCCACGCAGGCACCAAATGAGTATCCACACAAAGCGTAAGGTCCATCTTTTTGTACTTCTTTCAGTTTGGTTACATAAAATTTAGCTAAATCTTGGATAGAATCTAAAGGAGCTTCTTGTGTACATTGAAGACCGTACACAGGCCTGTTCAATCTGGAAGCTAAGGGTTCTAAGGGTGCTACAACTCCTTCAATCGCATGAACCTGATAAATAAACACATGATATAGTAATGGGTAATTCGTAATTCCGTAACTTTCATAATTTTTATAATTTACTTACTAAGAACAAAGGTTTCTTATCACTCTTGTCATCCTTTGATGTCAACCTCAACAATACTTTTTCTGGCATGAGTTCGTTACTGGCAAAGCTGACTTGTTTGTCTTCGCTGGTGACTGCACCATTGGTCGTTGCAGAAGTATCGCCACCACCTGCACCTAATTCTTTCAGTTTACCAAAGGTGAGTGATCTGATTTCTTGGGCATTCAGTACTAAGTCGTAATTTCTTTCTAAAGTTTGTTTAATTTCAGCTCCCATCAGCGAGTCCATACCAAGATCAGAGAGGGTAGCAGAGGCCTGTGTATTTTTGGTGTCCTTAAGACCTGGGGTAAAAGAATCAAACCATTACAACACTATCATTAATATAAATTTGCAGAAAACGTTACCTAATATATTTGCAACTGCATCAACTAAACTAACACCTCCTGCACCAGCACCAGCGTCTGCTTTCCTCTTATCAGCTAATACCATGGAGGCCAAGACAGGGTGAGGTTGTTGCAAAAGAACATCCAGGGCTTCCAAACAGGACCTCATTCTTTGTGGCAAGGTACCTCCTACATTGGTTTCGTTACCACCTCCCATTGATTCTATGACTAGACCGGCGTCACCGATAGCGCCCCATTGAATTGCAGTACCTAAATAAAAATTAAAACACATATTATAACAATCAGTACCCAGAGTATAGCTATAATTGCTTTATAACTATTATTACCTGGTAAACCGGCTGCTTGTCTGGCTTCACAGATCCTTTCCATTGCAGAGTTTGCTAAACCGTAGTTGACCTGACCAACATTACCTCTTCCACAACTGACACTGGAGAACACGACAAAGTGGTCCAACAGTGGACACAATGCTCTGGTTGCTTTATCTAAATTCTTGGTACCGGTAACCTTAGGTTTGCAAACAGCCTTAAAGTCAGCCTCTGATTGATTGTCCATAGTCTGATCTCTCAATACTGCTGCTAAATTATAAACTGCACCAACTGGTCCTAGACTGTTTGCTTCAGTCATCAATTTTTCAGCACCTAATTGGAAAAGACAAGATGTAATTGATAAAGGTCTAATGCAAGTTAAATCATCAAAGAATTGAATAATAATTTTTACCATTGGGTTCGGTGACATCAGTAGTGGACACCAGAACTTTAACACCCTTGTCCATCCACCTTCTGACAGCCAATTCTTGGTATCCAGAACGGATTCCACTTCTAGATGTTAATACTAAACGTTTGGCACCACGAGTTACAAGCCAATGGGCCAATTCTAAACCAAAACCTCCAAGACCACCTTTGTTGTAAATAACAGGATTAGAAAAGTAAAACAAGACATATTAGGGTAGTAATTAGGAATTATTTTGGACGTACCGACTAAAACATAGGTTTTGTCTGGGTGCATGTATGTTCTTGGTATAGCGTTTATGAGTTTCATGGGTGGTTTGCTGACTTTTGCTTTTTCTTCGTCTCTGATCTTCAATACAACTTTACCAATGTGTTTTCCAGAAGCCATAAACCTAAAATTAACAAAAATATAATAAATATACACTATTCAATCATTTTATTCATTAAATAATTTAAAAAATAACTTTTGTATTACAATATTTTATTTTTATGACTATTATTACCTGAAGGCTTGTTCAGCTTGTGTCTCTGAGAACACACTTGTCGGCAAAGGTCTGACTGCACCACTCTTGATACCTTCTGTGACCAATCTGGTAACTTCTTGGCATGTCTCCAAATCACCTTCCATAATAGAATCGAGCAAAATACCATGGAAAGTAACATTGCGCAAGAACACAGACATACCCTGGAGAAATTGGTTTTAATAAAAGTTGCAATTGACTGGCTAGTTTGTGGATGTAAGTGATACTTACTAATGGGTTATTGTTGGACAAATCGTATTTTCCAATTTCCAAAAACCTTCCATTGATAGCTAAACATCTCACTGATGCTTGCAATTTTTCTTCAGCCAATGAGTTCAATACAATATCCACACCTGAAACATTAAACACAACAAATTGTTACCACATTTTAACACAACCAGAATGAAAGCACCTTTTTATTTAATAATATTACCTTTTCCTTGTGTTTGTTTCATGACCATTTGTTCAAAACTGGTGTCTCTGGAGTTGCCGATGTGGTCATCCCTCAATCCAGGGAATCTCTTCAGCAAGAACTGGCGTTTCTCGGGTGATCCAACAGTTGTGAAGACTTCACAACCAGCGTGTAGGGCTACTGAGATTGCAGATTGGCCAACACCACCGGATCCGGCGTGAACTAGAACTTTGTCACCAGATTTCATGCGTCCACGCATCACCAGGGCGTAATAAACCTAAATATAAAGGATACAGGAATTTAAAATCCAAAGCATTAGCAAGAAATTAAGGTATTTTGAGTTATCTTACTGTTGAGTATACGCAGGGGATTGTGGAGGCTTCTTCCATGGTCCAGTTATCAGGAATGTCCCACATAAGAGCCTTTTGTGCTAAACAGGTAGTTGCCAAACTTTTAGCAGGCACCATAGCCATAACACGGTTGCCTCGTGAGTCTCTTCCGGAGAACTCAAGACCCAAGACACATTCCTACAAAAAATCAATGACACAAGTTATACCAAATATTTTTTCTTGTTGCTTCATAAAATTACCTGTCCAGCCAAGTCTCCTGGAAGCGCATCTGGGGGCAACTTGCCACTGCACAACATAACATCACGGAAATTGATTGGAGCATAGTATACAGTACACAAATCCAAACCGGACTGAGTATCATGCCTAGACAAAAAAACAAACAAATCCGTTAATGCATCAGTTGTATAAAACATTTTAAATATATATTCAACTCATACTTGTAGTAAGAAAGTGGTCCTTCTATCCATCTCAAACTGGCCAAATCTCCCTTCGTAACAGCATTGATATAAGCATGTTCCACTTGCAAAGATGCTTCGTCTGGTCTTGAGTCCAATTTCAAATGTCTCATGCAACCCCATTGCTTGGTCTTGTAAACATTCATTACTAAATCTTTACGAAGTTGATTCTTGTAAGCGTTTGAAGTCACTGAGAACTTTTCCAATGATGGGTCTTGTATGAAGTAACATCTTACATTTTTGCCACCTGAGAAAAAGATTCATTAAATAATATAGAATATTATATTGTAATTTTAGTAAATATATGTGTCCATTTCCCCTACCGGCTTCTTGTCTAATACAATTCATCATTCCAACCATTCCAGTGGTTTCTTCACCGTGGCATACAACGTACACAGTCAAACCTTCAGCCTCGCTCTTAGCCAAAGCTTCCTTCAAGGGCTCGACATAATCAAAATGATTTTCAGACACGTTGATGACTACAAAGTTCTTTGGCAATTCAAGCAAAGGTTTCCTCAATAGAGCGTAAACTCTATTGGTGGTCCTTTGGACAGAAACCAGTTCTAAACCTAAACTTTCATAAACTTGTCTGCATTCTGGTTTTTCGAAATTGACAGCTGTTTCTTCAAGAAGGACGAATCCTTCAGGTTTCAAGGAGTCGTAGAGGTTGCGAAGAACATTTTTGGCGGACGAATGGGTAAGTACGCCACTGCCAAGAGCTAGATGGGCATTTTCTCCAAGCTGGGGTAAAAGACTCATTAATATATATCTGTATCTGTTACTAATTATCTTTCTATATTATTATCTACTCACTGTGCCTGTTGTAGCATCCTTTTCGACAGTCTTAACACCCAAGGGTTCCAAAACACTGGTAAATGCTTCAACGTTCTGTTTAACAGCCACGATAGCTTCAACAGTCAACAATGGTTCTGATTCCAAAATATTCTGCACATCCTGTGTCAATAATCCTTCGACAGATTTGTCCAAAGCTGCTTCAACCAATTTCAACTTAATGGCATTCTTGCTGTTCTCCAATACGAGTTGGGAATTTACAGTGAGCGCTTGCAATCTGGACTTGTCTTCATTTTCAGCTAGAGAACTCTTGTTTTCGTAAGGAACAAATAAGTATCTTTCTAGTTTTGGTGGATTTTGAGCTTGCTGTCTGCGAGGGGCCAAAGAGGCTTTTAAACCGCGCATCTCGACACCGCCGCTCTTGAGGATATTTTCTTCGTTGTACATGTATACTGGGATACCTGAGAAACAGAAACAATACATACATATACTTCAATCCCAAAGCAACTCCTTCTAGTACAATTCATAACAGTCTACTTACCATTCTCTCCATATTTCTCGACAAATTCCAAATGTTTCTTGGGATCGATAACAGCTCTTTGTAATCTTGTGGGCAAGTACAATTCCCTGACATCCTTGCCCAAAATACTGAACTGGAGCATAGTGTCCATGAAACTGACCCAGTTATCGGACCATTCCAAAAGACCAGATTTGGCTTTACCATCGGCACTCTTAATACCTGGGAAACAAAAGAAATGAGTGATAAACCTGATCACAAGGTATGCACAAGGAGATGTCCATAGATCGTTTATCCTTACCTCTGAATAGGCCATCGTAATCATATCCACGAAGTCTAAGTTCCTTATAAACGTCTTGAGTAGTTAAATCTCTGACACCAGTTGGCTTTTCTGGTTCCTTCAACCAGTTCACTTGTTCCTTTTCCACATTTTCAGGTGCTCTGATTTTTCCAGAGACTGCCAAAGAACCTCCTTCACTAATTTCGAATTCGCCGGAGGCTTCAAAAATGTTCACCAAGAATTTAATGGAACCTTCTTTTGGCACAATGGTGGCTCTGTGAAATTGGACCTCTTCTAGGATGACTGGACATTGTTCCAAGGACTCGTTGCGGAGTTTGGCAAAAGTCTTCCATACTAGAGTCTAAAAGGAAAGGAAAAATTATTAGTCAGAAATCACATTGCTTATACATTTGATAAAACAGTTTCTTTTTTTAAATACTTGCCATATAACCAGTGGCTGGGAATAAAACTCTTCCATCAATATTATGTCCAAAGATGTACTGGTCTTCTTCTTTGCTCAGGTTGACATCGATAACATTTTCACCTGATTGTCCTCCTGAAAAAAAAACAAATAAATATCAATAAACTGAACTGATTGAATTATGACTAACTGAATATGAATAATTTTGTACCTTTTCCACCAAAATAGGGCACTGTCCATTCAGTACTGTGATCCCATTTTACTTTCGAAGCTAGCATAGGAGTACCTTGACTGACTGGATATTTAACTTTGGGGTAAAGATTAGCCAATAAAGGCTGTCCACCAGCTGCATATAATCTAAAAACCAGTATGCATTAGAAAAGATATCAAGCAGTAATAAAATCAATCATCTATTACTCACTTTCCCAAGCTCTGTAAAACATGCGAGCAATTATCTTGATGTCCTCTCTTCATCATGCCAACATTTGTGACTGATTTGGCTAAAGATCTCTTCAAAATAGCTTGCAATAAGGCATGAGGAGCAATTTCTATAACAATAGCATTCTCTGGTACGTGAGAGACTGCTTCATGGAACAACACAGGCGACAGAAGGTTGTTGACATGATAGTCAGCAGAACTCATCTTAGCTGTAAAAAATAGCATCGATTAATACGCAAGTTGGTTGCAAAATAATGTTACAAAGTTATTATCTCTGACCTAATGGTGTGTTCCATCGTTCCTCAGGAATACTGGAACTCAACCAGCGTGAACTTCTGGGTTTAGGGTCAGTCAAAATTTTGTCTAAGCTTTGTTTAAGCATGGGACCTGCTGCTTGGATGTATTTGGAATGGAAAGCTACACCAGAACTTTTAACACCTTTAGCGAATACACCTTCGTCTGTTAGTTGTTGGACGAATTTGGCAATAGAATCAACTGGTCCAGAAATCTAAAACACCAAAAGCATATAAATCAGATCATGTGCAGTAATATCATGATAAAAAGTGAAATTGTTACTGACTGTCACGGAGTCTTCAGCATTATGGCAAGCAGGTACAATGTCCTGAGGACATTTCTTGCGACACTCTTCCCAGGTCAAGCCAACGGCAGCCATGGCTCCAGGGGGTAACTTGGACTCTAAAATAGCACGACCACGCCAGTAGGCCGCCAAAACAGTTTGTTCACGTGTAAATGTACCATCAGCATAAGCACAACCTATAAAAGAATATAGTTATTAATACGCGCAAGTATAAACATTGGGTGCATTACTACAACCTACCTAATTCTCCTACAGAGTGTCCTACGATACCATCAGGTTCAACTCCAACAGTTTTCAAGACATCAACAAGAGCCACTTGTACAGCAGCAATTGACACAAATGAGTTGAGAACGTTTTCAAATCTATAAACAATAAAATGTTTAGAAATCAAAAACATCATGCATTATTTATTTTCACTTACTTGCTTTCATCGGTAGTGGTGATAACATCAAGCAAATCAACTCCGTAAGGTTTGAGTGCATCTGCACACTTTTGAATTCCATTTCTGAATGGTTCCAATTTCATTAAAGCAGCTGCCATTCCTGGCCATTGAGAACCCATACCGGAGAAAACGTACCAAATTGGACGCTTTTCGTTACTTTCTAATTCCTGGATTTCAATGAATGGTTCAGCTCCTTGTTCGGTTGGAAGCACTACAAATCCTCTATGAGCGTGTCCAGGGATATTTGTAGAATGCACTTCGTGTAACAGTGCTGACAGTTCCAAATCTTCAGGATGAGTTTGTACTTCGTGTAAAAGGGTTTCAACTGCTTCACGGGTTCTTCCAGATACAGCAACAAGTCTAAAAAAATAGACATAAAATTAAGTAAAATATTAAACTAGCTGTAAGTGGAATTCTGTCTTAAGGCAATTAGGGCATCGTGCCTTAAGGCAAATTGCTGGAACTTCCCGTACCAAAAACTATTATTTTTTTTAAAAACGATTAACATTTTTGAAAAAATTTTACTTCGAAAAAAAATAGATTTTTGAGAAACTATAAAATTGACAAAAAATTACTTTTTTTAGAAAAAACATTTTTTTTATTTGAAAAAAAAAAAATTTTTTGGAAAAATTTTTTTTTTGAAAACAAAAAAATTTTTTTAAAAAAAAATGTTTTCTTCATTTTGACATATTTTGGAAATTTTGAACTTTTTTTCAAAGCAATCGCACTGCTTGAACTGCATAGAGACGAAATATCGAAGCGCGCAAGTGCCGCGCCGCCGTCTAACGCATAAGCATTGGTACGAAACCCATAGAAATGTAAAAAAAAATTATACTTATTGTTAAAATTTCTATAAAATATCTGATAATTTGATGTGCATATGTCTAATGTTCATTTTTGACCGCCAAATGGCTCATTTTTTTACTTTTTCCTCCATATCTCCAAAGTCGTTGGACCTGCCTTTCCAAAAATTTAAACAGTTGTTCATTTAGTCAATACAAATAAAATGTTTTTTGAATTATTCAAATCGGACGCTCCGTTCTCTTTAAAACTGAGTTACCGTTTTCGGCACTTTTTGCCCCGTATCTTCGGAACGGCTAGACCTGCCTTCGCCAAAAACTAATCAGCACGTCTCCTTATCAATACGAATCGAATGTTTTTTGAATTATTCAAATCGGTTGATCCGTGTTCCCGAAAACGTCGACGAAAATTTGTATCCGCACATACATACACACACGTACATACACACACACACACACACACACACACATACATCCATTTTTTCTAAGGTATGCCAAAATGTTCAGAAACCTCTGAAACGTAAAGATATATAAAAATTTTCATTTTCGATTTTTTTGCGATTACTATAACTTACCCTACGGGAAGTTAAATATAACAAAATAACAATAATAGAAATAGTGAGATAATAATAATAATAATAATAATGTTAGCGTTTACAAATTTATAAGATCATTGGGAATTTTTCGTTTTAGTCTTGTTAGGCGCGCTTCTGAGAATACTTTGTGTGCCAAGTAATTTGGGTGTTCGTCTATTCTTCTAATAATAATAATAAATATGATTCATACCTGGGTACTTCAGTTTTAGCAGCTTGACTCAAAGCCATTTGTTTGGTTTTTGGATTTGATTTGAGAATAACATGAGCGTTTGCTCCTCCAAAACCAAATGAGTTGACACCTACATATCCACCAGTCCATGGAGTATTTTTATCTACAACCTTTAAACATAACAATCAATAACCAATGGCTTTTAATACACCAACAATCTCATGCATCAATTCAATACCTTTAATCGACCATCAAACAATCCAGGCAGATCAGGATTGGGTTCATTGAAATGCAAATTTGCAGGAATTACTCCAGCTTCCATGGCAATGAGGACTTTGGCAATAGAACAGAGACCAGAAGCAGGTTCACTGTGTCCCATGTTGGATTTTACGGATCCAATTAAAAGTGGAGTCTTTCTTTCGGCAGGGCAGAAGAAATCAGCAATAGAGTTGACTTCTTGTGGGTCACCAGCCTAAAGGATAATAAACATTATTAACCACAACAGTCGTACACACAACACATTTATGTAATCAAATCTTGTGTACCTTAGTTCCTGTACCATGGGCTTCTACATATACAACATCACTAGCACGTACACCACATTCTTTGTAAGTCTCTCTGATTAATCTATTTTGCATGGCTCCTGAAGGGAATGTGATACCGGTGTCTTTGAAACCATCAGTGTTAGTCCTGGCGTTGACCAGAGTAGCATAGGATCTTTTAGCAACTGAAGCTTTTTGCAAGTAAATCACTACAGCAGCTTCACTACGGACATAACCACTACCAGTGGCATCAAAGGCTTTGCATTTACCTGTATAAAAGAAACAATTTCTATAATAAAAGACTGTAGGTGCAACCCGATGGATTAATTATCTCGAATCCTGACCTTCTGCACTCAACATGCTAAGTCTCAAGAACTGTAAAGACAACGATGGCTTAAGATTCAAGTTGACTCCACAAACTACTGCAGCATCACAGTCACCTCTTCGCATAGACACCAAAGCCTGGTGCAAAGCGAATAAAGAACTCGAGCAAGCAGTGTCTACTGCATAACTAGGTCCTGAAAGTAAATAAACCAAATAAATAGAATCACTTAATTGTAAGATACTAAATAAATGAACCACAAATATTTTACCTCTGAAGTCAAATGTGTAAGAAATACGATTAGGGAACATAGCCTTGGCGCAACCAGTCAGACCATAACCATTTATAAGATCAGGATCTTGTGACCAATATTGTTCAGCTTCTGATGAAGACATTCCAACAAAAACTCCTGTACGTGATCCACGTACTGTGGCTGGATTTACTCCTAAGAAAAAAATAATAATCTTTCTTATATATAAAAATGAATCGCAAAATGTGTTGGTAAGCGCATAACTCAACAACGCCTGAACCAATTTGGCCAATTATTTTTTTAAAATGTTCGCTGAAGTCCAAGGATGGTTCTTACGGCGAGAAAAAATCGAATAATTGCCGGAAAAACCCTAAAATCAGCCCTTTTCTTTTTTACATTCAAACGTTTTCTAACTAAAACGTAAAATCAATTTGAGCTTTATTGCAATTATATAAAGTTCATATTAAATTACAAGCACTCACTGTATACTCTTCCTAAACGATTATTCGGATTTTGATAAATCTTTCTGAAATTTGTTAAAGAAATTTCTAGGATGTATGTGATTATAAAGTACTGGGATGTATGTGCAATATTGTAGAAATAAATGGAAAAAATAGCAAAAAACGACATGCTATTGTTTGCATTGAAAACAAATGAAAACTATCATCTGCCAAAAATTTCAATTTACTTATGAACCTAGACAATATTAGAATATGTATAATAAATTTATGATTATGAATAAGAAAAATGAAATGTCTACATTATTATTGCTAAAAAGCAGCTGAGATGTGCCAGAAATTAAAATATTATGAAATTAAGTATTAATCAGAGCCGGTCCTACCTTTAATGCGTTGCATGTGAAAAATACGAGCGCACGCCTTAGGGGGCGCCAACACAAGATTCGGATATTAAATTTTCAATATAGTTTTTTTCAATATATAATTTCTTTGCATCTTTTACTAATCTTTCCACGACATTTTTAAAATTCGTAAAAATTTCACTTTATTTATTTCACAAATGGGAAAATAAAGATGAATACATACAATTCGGCCCTCACGATATCGATTAGGAAAAGTTTAAATTACAATTTTAGATATCTTAAATAATAAAAAATAATCCAACATGAAGTACCAGTGTTATGTTATGATTATGGTTATGTTACACCGTTTAAAAGACTTCAATTTCCAAAATAGTGTGGGAATTGAGACTCATAATTTTATTTAAAGCAGTTCTACATTTAACATCGCTCATATTATATATGTATATGCATTTTGGTGTGAAGAGTAATTTAAAAAACAATAATTATTATTTTTAGGTAAACGACAAATATTAGTATATTATATTAAAAATTGTAGACATGGGTACAGGACAACGTCTGTCGGGTCATCTAGTTTTGTAATAAAATTCAATCCAAAATATCAGAAGGTGAAGATAAAAATTTTACCTGCATCGACAATTGCTTCGTGGGTCAATTCTAATAACATTCTCATTTGAGGATCCATACAATCAGCTTGTTTAGCATGGACACCGAAGAATGAACAATCGAACTTGGACATATCACCTAATTTACCCATACGTGCTGGTAGACCATACAATCCTAGGAAAAAAACAATTGTTACTCCGAGCTCATTTTAGGAATTTAAGTAACCTATTACCTTTGGGCCATCTCCTTTCATCATCTGTAACCAAATCAACTCCATCGAACAAAGCTTGACGGAATTCTTCAACACTGTCACATTCTGGGAATTTACCAGACAACCCTGTGATTACAACTTCTTCGTCCAATCCATCGTGGTGATACCCGTTTGTGTGATGACCATTTGTACTGCAAGGATAAAACCAATGTAAAATCTCTGTCCAAAATTGTACAAATATTTATTAACTTCCCGAAGGAGAAGTTTATGTTTTCATCAAAAAATCCGGTTCGCTAATTTTATGTTTTCTCGACGTTTCAAGCCATTCTGAATCGAATGAAACCAAATTTGGACAAAGTATGTGTTTCTGTGTGTGTGTGTGTGTGTGTGTGCGTGTGCACCAACAGATTTTTTGCCGTAAATCGCTGTTTTCTCAAAAACGGCTGAACCGATTTTAGAAATTTAAAAGCCATTCGATGTATTTCGGTGAGGACTATCGTTTGTCAGTTTTGTGTGACGATCTGCCAAGCCGTTTCTTTGCAATTTGAAAAAAAGTGTTAAACATTTCGTCCACATTTAAGCTCATCCTACCGTACCGATTCTAAAAAATCAAAAACTGTTCGAAAGATATTAGTTGGGAATTGTACTGATTAATTTTAGGTGAAAATCTACGGAGCCGTTTTCTTGTAATTAACTGTTGAAAAAAAATTTAAGACAATTTTCATGGAACTTTTTCTGGCGATATACAACATGGTGTTATAGAACTTACTGTAATATTACGGCCTTACGACAAATAGTTTAATTTTAAAAATTCGTCAAACTTTGCTAAAATTATTATCGTTTTTTTAAAGTAGGATTGGTGAAGTATATTATTTACACTTTTTTTTTGATTAAGTCGATTATTTACACATATCGGGAAGTTCATGTAACTTGCCTCAAGGCTAAATACCAAACCAACTAGTTTATTTATTAATTCATTTATTTAATATCTATCCTACTTACCCATTATGTTCGGTGTGATGTCCATTGACAACTCCTCCAGTGGCAGAAGGCATTTTGTGACAAGTCGACGTCAGCTTCTCTTCGCAACCAGTTTTGAATTTGAATTGGGCGCCGTTCTGTCGGCGTCCGTCAACTGTTAAATTAAATTCTCCACCGGAATCAAATTGTCCAGATTTGTCAACGATTTGGTCAGACTGATCTGTCGTCGTTTGTTCAGTTTCTGGTTTAAATCTGTCTTTGTTGAATTTTTGGGAACGTCTCCTCTTGCGCGGCGTTTTGGCTGCTGGCTGGACGACTTTTTAAATCTGACCCTGGTGGAATGTACTAATCTGGGGAAAAGGAAAAGATAATAGAAATAATAGAACTCTAAGAACAATTCCTATAAAATGTTAAGGATGTCAGAAATCTTCAAAATGTCGAGAAATGCAAAAATTTTCATTTTTGATTTTCGGCCCATTACTATAACTAAATATTCTGGAAAAATAGTGTTTTTCCAGAAATGTTGGTAAAGAAAATTGATTGGTTTTTAACTAAATTATCTGATACAAGGGAAAATTTTTCTGATATTATATGGGTATTAATATATGACCTGATATTTTTATTTTATTACTAATATTACTTATTACTATACATATCAAAGGGCGGATTCATTAATCACTTGAGGTGTTTATGGAGAGGGAGGGTTTGACAAAAAATCACGAAATATTACGTGGGGGAGGAGGGGTATAGTAAGATACCAGTTGCATTTGTTTTTTACCCAATTTTTTTTTTAAAAAAATCCTAACATTTTTAAAAAAATTTAAAAAGATACAATTTTTCCTTGCAACTAAAACGGACAGTGCATTCAAATTGTTTTTTTATTATAAAATATAAATGTTGTAGCATTTAAATCAATTTCACAAATCAAATAAAAATACCAAAAAGACAACAAAATTTTAAACATAATAAGTAAACTTATTTTTATTGGTATTTTTATTCCTTTCTAAAATTATAATTATATATTATTAATGCTTTGGCATTAATTATTCAGGAATTATTAAAGAATTCTTTGGGACTTTCTAAAAGTTTTGGGCAATAAATGATTAAATAAAAATGTAGCTTACAAATAAGACTAAGGTTTATAAAAAAATTTAAATCACTTATAATTATTGTTTTGAACTAAAGTATTTTATTTTAGAGTTCGATTTAGAATTTTTGCATTTTTTCTAGAGACATTGTTCCACATAACAATTTTAGTTTCTATATTGTTATTTTGCATTATAAGAATTTTATTTATAGCACTTATTTTAAAATAAATATTTAAACTTATTTGTATTTTTTCTTAAGAATTAATAGATATAATATAATAAAAGTAAACCCATTACTAAAAACAATATTTTTATCCTCACAAAACTCTAAAATTATTCTATGGAAATCATTTCTAAGTTTGGGTGGAGATTGCTCTGTAAATAATTATTTATATTATAATTCTTCGTTATTAAAATAAACTGGGGGTTAGTTATTAAAATTAAAAAAAAATCATGTATATACACTTTAATAATAATTATTAATTTTTATTCTCAATTGTGTGGATGTACTCTAACAAAATCTCATTAGATTTTATTTATCTATTATTCGATTATTTAAAATGTATTACAAAATTGTAGATCTATGTTTGTTTATCAGTTTTGTGCAAAAATCTAATGAAATTTTTGATCTCAGCTATTTATTTATTTAATCTTTAAATTATATTAGTCGTATGATGACATTCGCGTGTATCTCAAATCAAAAACAAGATTACGCAAATCAAATTTAATCGTAATGAGATGAAATTTGCTTATTTTCTGCAATTTATAAATATTATATATATAATATAAATGCATATATACAAAATATTGCTAAACTATTTATAATATGCATCATTAGAGTTTTGGAAGTAAATAAATTAACTAAGGAGAAAGTTGGTTTCTTGAGAGAAACTAATTTTGCAAATTTTTATTTAAAATTTAAATTTAATAATATTAATTTTTTTAAAAATATTCATCAAAATCTTGCTCAAAACAAAATGTATTTGTCTCACCATTATTATTATTTTAGATTAAATTTGCCATGTCAACAAATTAAATACTGAAATAATAACCATATAAATTCTTACATTAATCGTAAATTTTCTTCTTTATGTAATCAATATTAATAATATTTTAATTATTATATCATGTATAATATATCATAATCTATGTGAAATATTTTGAATTATTAATTCAATGTTAATTACTTAATTTGTAATCAAAAATAAAATTTGGTTTATGTGAAAATCTTCTAAAATACTAAACAAACAATAATAAATAATAGTAATAAAAATACTTATTATACTTTTTAGCGACATTTTTACAAATGTTTTAAAAAAAATTGATAATACTAAATATTTAGTAATGAAATACTTACTAAGTAGATAAAGAAATGTTCTTATTTTTTAATGGCAATGAAATTTATTTAACAGCAACTCAAATGTAAAGTAAATATTTATTATTAAAAATATTTAATTAACAACAAATTTATTACCGTTCTTTATTTTTGTGTAAGTCTAACTCCAAAATGTATTATGTAATTTTTCTCATTTGTGATTCAGTTCGCGTTTTATTCGTTTTTTGGTGGCATTGACATTGCCATTCAGATATTATGAATAATATTACAAACACACATTATAATTGGATATATATGTATATATATATATATATATATATATATATAAATGTATATAATTTCTATTCATATCATTCGCAATTTAGAAAAAAACAGAACTTATAATTAAATAATAATATAGCACCATGCCTTTGATGTATAAATATCCTGAATATTTCAAATAACTTTTTTGTCCATTTATAATTATATTTATGGCACATCTATTTTCAAAATGTTGTAATACAAAAATTATGAACTAAAAGTTTTCATCATTAAAAATACAATTCCAATCTGCTTGATTTTTTTAAATATATTAAAATTATTAACTAAATTAGTAAAAATTGTTAGAGTATTTTTCTATTATGTTTGTTCTCAGTTTCATTAAGGAAAAATTAAAAATATAAACTTGAAATTATTTATTTGATAATAAATTTTTTTTTTCTGTAACGAATTTTTGTGTAATATTATATAATAATGTTTTATATACATAAAGTTTTTGTGATATTAATAAATTTTGTCATTAATAATTGCACAAAAATTATCTGTGTACGAATGGAAGATATAAAATGTTTTGATTATATTTATTTAATTTTAATACAAATAATTTCAAGTTCATATTTTTAATTTTTTCATGATAAAAGTGAGATCAAATGTAAATTTATAAAAAAATACTCTGAAAAAATAAAACGACAGAAGATTTATTCTAAAAATCTAACAGAATTAAGTAGTATTTTCAATGATAAAAATGTTAAATATTTACTATTTTTGTTGTAATTTTTAATTATTATTAACTTCCTGTAGGGTAGTTATAATAATGGACCGAAAATCGAAAATGAAAATTTTTGCATTTCTCGACGTTTTCAAGGTTTCTGAACATTTTGGCATACTTCAGAAAAAATGGAGCATTTTCCACTTTTGTGAAAACTATTGAAAAATGTGAAAATGCCGTCGAGCTAAGCACAGTATAAGTGAAAATGTCGCACAGAATTATTTGCAAATGCGTTTAGACCGTGACTATGCGGGAGCACTTTTTCAATTTTGTGTAAATTAATTAATTAGCAACTATTTTTTTTTTAAATTGAATTCGAAATGAAATGACGATTGTTAATGTTCTGGAGATAAATTGATTTGCTCATTGTCAGATATAACAAGATAGCAAAAATAATGAAAGTTACAGTATTTGTAATAATATATTTAAAAACGTTTAAAATTTCTCGATGACATACACCACTAGTTAAAAATTTTTCTCCTTATTCTAAATAGCGTATGTCAAACATATATATCTTACATGGCTCAAGTAGAACTTCTTATTGTCAGACACATACGACTGACATGGCGATTAATGTGTTAAAACATAATTTGCTTAGAAAATATAATTTCTAAATATCAATGGTCCAAAAAAATCTATCTATATATATATATATATGATATTCAGTTTTCGGGGCAATACATCAATTAAAAAATTTGTATGACTTTAAAATAATTTTATTTTTTCCATACGTTTCGACACATAGTTTTGTGTCATCTTCAGTGGACTATGTAATTGTAATAATCCTAATTATTTCATTAATTATTAATAATCATATTAATTATTTCATTTAGATGTATTTTACAAATTCATAAAATAACTCATTCAAAAAATTTATTAACTTCCCGTAGGGTAAGTTATAGTAATCGCAAAAAAATCGAAAATGAAAATTTTTATATATCTTTACGTTTCAGAGGTTTCTGAACATTTTGGCATACCTTAGAAAAAATGGATGTATGTGTGTGTGTGTGTGTGTGTGTGTGTGTGTGTGTGTGTGTGTGTGTGTGCGTGTGTGTATGTATGTGCGGATACAAATTTTCGTCGACGATTTCGGGAACACGGATCAACCGATTTGAATAATTCAAAAAACATTCGATTTGTATTGATAAGGAGACGTGCTGATTAGTTTTTGGCGAAGGCAGGTCTAGCCGTTTCGGAGATACGGGGCAAAAAGGGACGGAAACGGTAACTCAGTTTTTAAGAGAACGGAGCGTCCGATTTTAATAATTCAAAAAACATTTTACTTGTATTGACAAGATAAAGAATTGATCAAATTTTCATAAAGGCAGGTCTAGCGGTTTCGGAGATCTAACAAAAAAAGTAAAAAAAAATGCCATTTGGCGGTCAAAAATGATCATTAGACATATGCACATCAAATTTTCAGATATTTTATAGAGATTTTAACAATAAGTATAAATTTTGTTTATTTTCCGATGGGTTCCGTATCAATGTTTACCCGTTAGACAGCGACGCCGCTCTTACGCGCTTTATATTTTGTCTCTATGCAGTTAAAGCAGTGCGATTGCTTTGAAAAACAAGTTCAGATCTTCCAAATTATGTCAAAATAAAGAAAACATTTTTTTTTTCAAAAAAAAAAATTTTTTAAAAAATTTTTTTTTAAAAAAAATTTAAAAAAAATTTTTTTTTTCAAAAAAAGTAATTTTTTGTCCAATTTATAGTTTGTCAAAAATCTTATTTTTTCGATGTAAATTTTTTTCAAAAATGTTAATCGTTTTTAAAAAAAATAATTTTTGGTACGGGAAGTTCCAGCAATTTGCCTTAAGGCACGATGCCCTAATTGCCTTAAGACAGAATTCCACTTACAGCTAGTTATTGTTACATTTAAAGTGACAAGAATTG